ATGCATAAAAGGCTTTCGCTCGGCTATTATATATATTAAAACATCAATCATTTTGTCGCAGGGAATCGTAATATATTTTAAAAGTAATTAAACGTACCTTCTTCGTATGCCAAACAAGCATTAATCAATTGATCTTCTATTTTGACCAAGTTGGGCCAACAAGATTTACGCCATTTCTCCTCTTCCAATAAACGGAATGAAGCTTGGAAGAGACGACGTGGGTCAGAAGCCTTTTTCTCAAACTCGATCATTTTCTATAAAGGAAAGTTGAATGATTAACGTATGTTGAAGTACTACAAGTTAGAATGGATAATACGTACCTCGATCAAAGCACGTCTATCCAACATCCATTTATATATCTTGGCGCATTTGGCATAAAGTTCCTGCAAACGAGCAACTTCTTGAGCAAGTAACTCATAAACTTCCTCAGCGGAATCGACTAAAAGCAAGCATATAAATGGTCGTTATTGGTAATCAAAGGCATGATGAGAGGGTATATTTTTCCACCCCAAGAAATCATTTTGACTTACGTGCACGTAAACTGGAAAAGAATTCATCACGTTCGTATTCAGGAACCAAACATTTGTCCCAAAGTTCACCCAATTGAACGGTATATTCCTCGATAGCCTTTTGAATGATGGCGCGCATTATTTCTCGAAGCCGTTCAAACTCCACCGATAACTAAGATTGAAAGACGATTCGAAAAAATTAATATCAGACTTATTAAATTCATTTCACTAATGATTTCCATATGATTTGTAAATTTTCCCTTACTTTATCCAAATATTCTTGATCCAGTGAATCGATCAATTCGATTCTCTCAGCTTCCGGAATATTCAATTCATCATAGAGGTTCATGATGCCTCTTTGCATCATAGACATCTTACCCCTACGTTCTTCATAATCTTTACCTAAAGTGGTCAACTTATTCTTTAAGATTTCTAGATGTTCGGGTCTTAGTTTTATTCCTTCGGGAAGTTGTGGCGTGTAATAAACATAACCACGTTTTTCTAAATCTAACTCTAATTGTTGTTGCTCTAACTCACTAGCATTGTCCTTTTTTGCTTCGCTTTGTAATAACGCATCGTAAAGTTCTTTTGGATTTGACTTATCTAAAAATAATTGAGCTAAAGCTGTATCTATTTCATCTTGTGGGTTATAGCTAAGCATTTCCCAATAATAATGAAGTTTGGTAGCCGAACTTTCAAATGATTCGCGAAGCCCACCCTACAAGGTCAGAATAAAGTTAACATATTGTATGAATCATCCGAAATCAATTATCTCAAGGTTAAATTCAATACTTTACCACTATACTGGCATACTGATCATATTTGCACCATAACTATATCATGGATAGGAAAAATCTTAATATTACGATTACAAAACAGAAAACGTTCAAAAAAAAAAAAAATCAATTATACAAACCGGACGAACTACAGCCGTGCTTAAGTCGGTTTCAAAAACCTTAATAATAAATAACACGTTAGTTTACAAGGTACGTGATAGTTATAGAATTCATTTACCCACACGCCGCATTACCTCTGCTGATGGAACTACATAGCCGGTATCAAGTTCCTGAACAAAAACGTTAAGTCCGGCCAACCACTTATCGACATTAGATCTCGTGACTCCGTACTCCTAAAAGAGGTTAGACCAAAAAAAAAACCAAATTAAAAAAAGAAATTCTCATTATCCAATTATTAAAATACATTCAACACATTGTTCGCAAACTGTAACAGGAGTAACGTCCACATGAAACCCTGTCTATCACCAAACGTTCCCCCTGGTAATAAACAATAAACAATCCAATTAACCAACCTCTTTTAACGCATTTCGGATAATTGCGAACTTGTCGCGCGTGGCATCATTAACCTCATAACTTAGCATAGCAGCATGATCGATTAATGTATCAGCCCTTCGACCAAATATATGGCAATATTCCTCGATTTCCGACTAACACGATAAAAAAAGAAAAAGAAAAAAATTACTTTCCGAAATAAATGGCTTAGAAATTGAAAAATAATTATACAACAGTTACGTACGAGCATATCTTCTAATTCAGCAGAAAGAGTTGACTTCCATAGAATTTGTTCTTGAATGAGTTTGTCAAACTCTGTCAAGATCGTCTAATAAGTTTCAAAGAAACGGGCATATATTTAGCATAAAAGGTACCGTACAAAAGAGAATTGGTTTGTTTTCCGAAGGATCAACTATTTGCTCACCTGTAATTTATCTCGCGCCCACTCTCCATGATCTGAGTAGTCTTTCCCCGATATTTCGTTTGCGGAACGATAGTCTTGCCATAACACCTTTAGCTGGTCAACTTTGAAATGGAGGGCATCCATATTGCTCTATTTTTTTTTTTTTGTTTTATTCAAAAAACTGAGTCTTTTGAAGCCCGTGTTTTTCAAACTACTTTTATAGAAAATTATTATAGAGGGATTCTATGAGGATAGGGTAAGTAAAAGGAGAGGAAAAAATCTTTTCAAAAAATTTTTTAAAAATTTCCTTCAAAATTAATGGTGGCTATGAAGATATATATTAATTGTTTTAGGAAAAAAAGAAAAAAATAAAATAAAAAATAAATGGTAAATAATATATTTATTTTATTTTATTTATTATAAATTTATGTAATAAACAAAAAAGGAGTGTGATAAAAAAAAAGGAAAAAGATGTTCTGTATTAAAAGTTATTGTATCTTAAAATATAATAATTCTACGATAAGAAAAAAATAAAGAAAAAAAAATTTGAAAATAGAGTGTTTCGAACCTTAAACTAAAAATTCCAAAGGTATGTTTAACAAGAGGAACACAAGATTAACGAATAAGGAAGGGACAAAAAACGCGGAACAAGTAACTTTTCAATTCTCCAAGTATTTTAACCCTGCAACTGTCAAAGGTGATTAAATAGGTAAAACACGGGAATTTTTATAGGAAATGATTTACTAATTCCTTGCACAGGTAGTTATTAGATACGTCAAACTAGTCTGAAAACTAGAGTTGCGTGTGAAATCTGTTCTTTTTTTTTTATCCTCTGATTATAAATCGTTTACAATTCAAGACTAGATTCAGATGTGAATCGTGTGATTTCAAATATGATGATATTCTGATAGAAATAGTAATTTAAAAAAAAACATTAAAAAGTATTAAAGTGTGGCTTTTTGAAAAAAAAAAGGGGGGGATTTGAAATTTTACCATTAAAAGTCAAAGAGAAATTCTTTTCTTCCCAAATGTGATATCAAAAATACCGGTTTGAAAGTGAGGTCGTTTCGTTTCCTTGCTGATTGTCACAAGTCTTTTTTTTTTTTCTTTCCGGAATTCACAAGATCAAAAAGTGAAAAAAGATTTTTATTTGTTTATAATCTATCTTCTCGTTGGGGATAAATAAAATAAATATTTTATATTTATTTCTGGAATCCAAAAAAAAAAAAAAGCTACGCCACAAACAAATTCAAGCAATTTTTTGGCAGACCCTATCGGACAATGATCTTTATATGTTAAAAAAAAAAAAACTATCAATGCATATCTCCAGCTAATGCTTCAAAGTGATGGGTTCCTTCTAAATTCAATACAATTGGTTCAGTTGAATGACTCGGATAATAGTGATCTCATCAGAACACCATACAAATCAAATTTCGGCAAATGCGTGATTGCATTTCAAATACTTTAACTTGCATCGCAAAGCATCAAAGGCATCGAAAAAAGTACATGGGCGAACATGTTGCTGATTACCATGATATCTTTACTAATATAAATCCCCCTTTCAAGAAGCCACACCGTAAAACGAGTTTTGCACATGCGTCATTATTAACGAGAGGAATACAATAGTTTATTTATAGTATATATAAAGGTTTTTTATTGTTATTTTTAAACAGATTTGCTTATGACAGGAGTGTCCCAATAAAATTCCGAATTGGAATTAATGTACGCCAAGGTACAACACAATCTAATGGATTATCTTAAAAGGTTCTACGAATAGATCCATAGATTCAATGAAAATATTGTTTCTTAGTTCAATTGTTTTTGGACAGTATAATCTTTGACAAGCAATGTTTAAAAATTTTTTTACGTGGGCAAAAAATACGCCCTAACGCACGGTTGTGGTTTAGTGATTTTGTTTGTTTACCCTACATTTCGAACCTAAATTTTTGTCGTACAATAAAGAATTTTTTTTTTTTAAAAAAAAAAACACGTCCTCTCAAAAGAATGGATTTCGTCAATTACAACAAATTTTGGGGGAGATTTATCATAAACAAACGGGAAATTTTTGTATTTGTCAAAGGTTTAACGGTTCTAGGAAATGATAAAAGAAAAACCATTTTTTTCGGAGAGATGAAATTTTTTTTTCTTTGAACAAAAGAGAATTTACCGCTTTCAGAATTAAAAAAAAAGAGAGATCATCCGAAATGCATTGCGTCAAAATATAAGCCGACAATTAAAGTTTCCATGGGAAATTTCGAAAACCATTTATTCCGTTCTTTGCCTGTGCTACCTTTTCGCGCATATATAAGAAAGAAATTGGTATTCAAACAGGAGAAAATAAATCAGATCTCCAAGAATGGATTAATGATGACTGAAAATAATAAACAAATGATTTTTACTCGCATCGGATTTTTTAAGGTTTAAAATATAAAAGTGTATACATTTTTTTCCATGTTATTCTATCCTAATTTAGAAAAATCGGATAAAGAAGAATGAAATAAATATCTTCAAATCATTAATATAAATATTATATTATTAATTACATTGAATTTCGATAATTCTTTTTTGAAATGTTTTATGAAGAAAAAAACAAAAACAGATCCGCCGAATGATTTGAAATCAAATTATTTCTATTCATACAAATTCGTAATCTTTGGAAAACGCAATAAATTGTATTTGTCATCTATGATATAATTTCCTTTTATAGTAATGGCCTTTCCTTCTCAAAAGTTATAAAACGATCATAGTCCCCATGTTTTCTTATTTATGAAAGTTCTAGTAAAAAATTTGGTTAAGAAAATGCATGATATTCAAGCTTATCTTTGGCCAACTCCAAATGGTAAATAAAAAAGATTTAGTGGATTTTTTTTAATGAATTATTTAATTGGATTTTCTAACCTCCTTTGTAAAAAAAAAAAAAAAATAAAGGCAAAAAAATCTTTGTAGCACTTGAGGAACTTAATGTTCCTTATGACCTTCACTTGATTAACATCGGTAAAAATGAGCAATTCGCTCCAGAATTTCTAAAAATTTCTCCAAATAATAAAATTCCCGCCATAATTGATCAAAATCCTCCGTCAGAATTTGGTGAAGGTGCTCTCCCCATATTTGAAAGTGGTGTAATCCTTCAATATTTGGCCGATTATAAAAAAGGTGAGGGTGCTCCAGATTTGTACCCTAAAAATCCTCGTGAGAGGGTTAGAGTCAACGAATGGTTAACTTGGCAAGTTGGTGGGCTTGGCCCGAATATGGGTCAATTAAATCATTTCTCTTCTACGAATATTGATTATGCTAAAGAGCGGTAAGCGGTTGATAAAATTATGATTTAAAGAATTTTTTTTTTCAATACTTAATCTATTTTATATAAAGTTTTTCGAAAGAAGTTGATCGATTACTCGGAGTCATGAACAAGCGCCTTGGAGAATATAAATATCTTGCCGGTGATAACTACACCATTGGTTAGTACATACATATTGATATTATTGATATTGAATTCCTATTAATTCTTATTTCCATGATAAAAAAAACAGCTGATATAGCATCATACAATTGGGTTATATATAATGATAAAGCAAAGGCTGCGGATACTCCTTTTCCAAACATAAAGGGATGGTTAGAACGTATTAGTGAAAGACCCGCCGTAAAGAAAGCAATGGAAAAGGCTACAATTCCAAAATAGCTTTTCAATTTTCTTTGATTTATGTATAATGATGTATTTACTTAATAAACATTAACTGCGGATCATAAAGTTTAATAATGAATTGGATAACTCTAGATTTGATATTTCGCTTGCAAAATTCTCCTAATTCAGATCGATAGAGACTTTTTGATTGAAATCCTTATAAACTCCCCCCCCCCCCCCCAATTTGTAGGCTTGATCGTTTTTAAAAATCTTTAGCAATTCTTTATATGTTCATGAAGCTCTTCATTTTCGAATGATTATACACACTGCATTGCATTGCAACCCCAACGCGGTTACAGTATACTTAATATATTAGTTGGCATGCATGTCCACACATTCTGATTCTGCTTTTCGTACACCCGTCAGTGAATTTAAAACACGAGGTATTAAAGAATTTTATATTTTTTTAAATCAGTGCATAAGACTTTTGGTTACACCCTTCTTTTATCCAGAAAAAGAAAATGCAATATTGCAGTAATAAATTTATTGCTGATTTGGTATATTGTTTTCGTTAAGGCAGACAATAAAACTGGAAATGTTCTAGTAGCTACTGATTCACAAAAGTTCTACCACAAAGGAAGTGAAACCTTTTTTTTTTCAAAGTCTGCTTAAAAATGAAAAATAAAAAGATTCCCATCAGGGTCTAAATGTAGTGATGTTGGATAATACGTTTATAAAATTGGAAATTTTGTATTAAATCTTTCTAAAAACAAATAATGATTCAATTTCTTCTTGCTACAGTAATTTTTGTAACATAAACGTGCAAACGATATATTTCATTAAAATATATATTTGGGAACTTTGTTCTTTTATTTAAAGAACAACCAGAACAAATTTTCTTTTAAAAGTTAGGCTTTAAATATGTGAGATTCTGCCAACCATATATTCTGTCCTGTAATTGATAATATAAATATTTATCATTACCATGAACTAGATTATCTATTTAATTAAGTTATCGCTATCAACTTTATAATAAATTAAAAATTAATGAATTTTATAAAAAAAAATACCCAAAATTCTTTTATAAATTTAACAATTAATTTATAATTGTAGTAGCAAGAAAAATAATCTGCTATAAGTTTTTTAAATAAAATAACAGTAAATTATAAAAAATTATCAGTAAATAATACATTTTCACATGTAGTAGACATAAAGTATAAAATAAACCTTTCTCCCAGCGCATTTACGCAAGATAACTCTTGCTATAAAAAATCAAGTGTTGTCTAAAAAATTCTGATTCGATTAGCCAATTAACACATTTCTCAATGGATATACTACGCATCAATACTTAGAGGAAGTGATTCTGTTGACTATATGTGTGAAACTGTAGCTCGTGAAATTCGTCAACTTACAGGGAAAAAGATTGGAGGGGCTACTATAAAAGTTTTTATTATGGGTATAATGATTCGAAATATAGTACAATAAAGTTAATTAGCAAATGGTCAAATAGCAAAGAAAATATTGGCAGTAGCGGGGAAGGAAACTGCCACTATATGGTTTGGGCTCGGCAAATTTCTCCCTTGAAACAACCTGCTACTCTATTATTTAAATTCATTTTTACTTAGCCGGCTGGCCCTTTCTCATGTATTACTTTACGAAAAAAATATATAATAAAGAATGTGTTTTTGATTGATTTTTAAATTTATGAATGTGTGTTTATTTTATAATCTACTGCGCATATAATACAAAATGAATTTCCGAAATAAAAATATACCGTGTTAATTTCTCCCTACTAACAATAAACATATTGCAACCTAATGTATCAATGGATTGCATGTTCAATGATAATTTTTTTTATATAACATGGAATAATAAAAGTTCGTTAGATAAAATGTCACGATAAGAACTATTGTTTTATTTATGTTGAAAAAATAAATTACAAGATTCGGTAATACATAAACTTGTTTTACAAAGTGAAAAAGAGTCTCTATACTAATGCCTGCAGACCACACTACTAATTCACATTATCCCACTCCACGATCCGGTTTCAAAACGTTCATCAGTTATACTTGTATGCAGTGTCGGAAAATAAATCAATGGATAACAACTTTAACCTTACGCCGAAATTTTATGTTGTTTGCAATCCATGATTCTAGTAGGCCTTCAAAATTCGTACGAGAAAATATCATGGTCGGAGTAAGAAAAAAGTTGTTACGTGAAAATCTTACCTACATCACAGAGCGTTACTGCGCTTTATTAATAAAAAAAAGTTTATTAAGAGTCTATCAGTCACGATGAATTCAGAAAAGTATATTTATATTTAAAACTTTTCTTAAAAGCTCTCTTAAAAATTTCTCTTCTAAATTACTACAGAAATATTCCCATAATGTCGTTTTCGTTAAATTGTTTATTTCTAGGCGAAACTTCCTTTGATAAAATTTTTCCGATTATTGTGCCTGATAAGATTATTGTAAATAATGCAGGAGTTCCTATTAACCGTGTCAACATTGGACATTTTAAGAGATATATCTGGTCTATTAATAAAGCTAAATTTAATTTTGATGATCCCGATGTTATGAAACTTTGGAAGGTTAATATTGATGAAGAAAGTAAGCTTGGTGTTTTTACTGAAGATGGTATAAAGGACAATCTTGGAGGTACAAAGATGTTACCACAAAAATTTCTTAAAGAGTATTCTCCGAAGGAGCTTGATTCACCTGAGAATGTTCATATCATGATCGTAGTCCCCACTGGTAAGTGTCTCCTGATTTTTACCTCAAACAAGAAATTTGCAGTAACAAATTATCGATGTGGGTTGATCTCTTTTTTTCGCGTTAAAGCAGGTTCTTCCCAGCAAGGCGTTCCACAAGGTACAGTATCTCCAGTTTAATAACTTCGAGTATCTATTGAACGATGTCTGAAAAATCCTCTAACAAATCTCATTTACCTATCGGCCAAAATGCATCACCTATTGTAGGACCTGATGTCAGTAAGTCAGCCTTAGTAAATATTAGTTGATACCATAACGAACTGCTAACTTTTGCTTTTTTAATGCTTAAAGGATCGCTTGAGGAGGCTTTATCCATTATTTTGCAGAACATACCAATTGAAATTAAAACACCAAATGAGACAACAAAAATCTCGGAAAAAATGCCACTGAAAGAACGTGATACTAATAAAGCATTGAAGATATTCAACGTTAATGTTACCAAATCTTTTGATCTATTCAATTCCAAGTCAAGCTTCAACTTTCTTGTCTGTAGTGGGGCGGCCGGAATAGGTACTCGTTCTATTTGTTTGTAATTATATATACATCATGTATTGTTAATCTCATGCGTTTCATCAGGTAAAACCCGTTGGAGAAATGAGTTCTTTAACTCTGTTAAAAAAGATTGGAGTCCACCACCTAGTTGGGAGAAACCAGAATATCTCTATCTGCTTCTTGATTTCGTAACTGGTTCTTGCCTTTGTGATCTTGATATAAATCTGACAGCATCTATCATTCTCGGACTTAGGATAGCCTATCACTATTTTGTACGCAGAGATGGTAGAATAATGTCATTTGAAACATTTCAGGTTCGAGCGTGTCACTTTTTTAAACATTTCAGAATAAATGTTGTTCTTGAAAGTATTCAAAATCATCTACTAAGTGGGCTCAACAAGAAACTTATTATAGTACTTCATATCGACGAGTTTCAAGAAATTTTCGCTTTCGAAAACAGTTGGAAAGGAGGGTTGAGTGGGAAAGGACTTTTTAAAGAAATGTTGTGTGCCCTCAGACCTTTGATGATGGAATCTGAAACCACGTATTTTATGTCCAAACGTTTTTATCAGGGACAGGATCACAAGATGTTATCAATAACTTTAAAGCAACAGATTATTCCTTCGAGTTTGTCAAGTGTTCCCTCTTATCAAACAAATCAATTATCGAAATTTTTGATTATTTTGCTAAAAAGGGGGGATATAAAGAGAAACATTAGATATGCAACACAAAATTTTTGCAGCTTTTATATAATACTAGTGGACTTTCACAAGCATTGGAAACTGTTCTTGATGAATGTTTCAAAAGAGATGGGTTCTTTCTAAAACTAAAGGATAAAAATTTTACATTCTTTGATAACATATTCTATGCCGTCATTAATAACTTACGAAAAAATATAAATTAGACAACTTTATTATGAAAAACTGCAAATCTAGTTGTCAACTCCTATACTACTGCATTGGAGCCATTCCAGTTCAGCTTAATGCAAAATTGGATAGTGAGCAGACCAGTAACAGTAGAGGACCTGAAGCACGATGGGATTTTAATTCTAAAGAATCCTGGACCTAATACTTATTTTATTGAAATGCCTTTTTACTTTATTTACATATATAACATATGGTTAAACGTAGCCCTCAAAATGGCCTGGGATACCTGGGAGAAATTTGTAGCTAATTATGAAATATTTTGCAACAATCTACTTTTTGAACTAGAGCAACATAAAGAGGAAATTTCTTTGAAAAAATTTTATCGTGAGGCAATTGGCAAAGGCTCTGTTTTGAACATCCAGACGAGGCTTGAAAAGCTTGAACTATGTGAAGCAAAAAACCAGTTTCCAAAAACTGGTCTTCCAATAAATCGCTTAAATAACAGAGTTATGAATCTGGATGGCTTAGTTATTATAAATGGCTACTCAGCACCATTTGGTGATATTATTTTATTACGCAAAAAAATTACTGAAAATAGAAATCTTCTTATAGTATTCCAGCAGAAATGGTATATTACCTTAAAAGAGCTTACTATAGATGATATAAAAACTGAATGCAATAAAAACAAAAATGCTATTAATGAAATGAAAGATAGTGATTTAAAGAAATTTCTTGAGGAGTCTCATATTATGACTGTCATTTTCACATCGCAACTATTCAAAGGGAATCCCAAAAATCTACTAGATGATTACCTGATTATTTCAATAGAGAACTTCAATCAGTATTTTGGATCCTTATTTGCCTCACGATTGACATTTGATATTATAAACAATCTTAATATTAACTTCACAGAGCTAAAATAAATTTCTGAAGTGATTAAAGGAGTTGGAAACATCTTATCTAAGGTTATACATGAGAATTAACCATACAAAAGTACAACTAAAGTTATTGAAAAGAATCCAACTTATAGAAGCTACCTTGAGAAAGTTAGAACACAGCTAGAAGATTGCTCATACGCTTCATACTCATTTCTAGATAATGAGAATGATTCAATAATATTAAATGAATATGATTCATACTTAAATGATAATGATATAGAAATGGATGTTGACTTGTAAGATTAGTTTACAACTATATTATACATAAAACATTACATACAAAATATTATAATATGTTATAAAATGCTCATATATATTTTTTTAACTAATATTATTAATATGCATTATTTCTTTACTAATTTGTAATATAATCAATATATTTGTTTTATAATAAAAATTTTAAAAAATAGTTATTATTTATAATATACCAGCTTTTATAATTTCTGAAATAAATTATCCAATTTTAATATATATTCTATTCCTATATTTTATACTAGAGATGTTAAGCAGTCTTAAGTATTCTAAATGTTCTAAGAAAATTACAAAGAATTATATTTAAAAATTTTTTATAAAACTTTATCTATTATAATATTTTAATGAACTACTAAATGAAAATATATAATAAACCCTCTTGGAATTCCAGAATTTAAAATTTAATGATTTAGCAGTCTTATTAAAATTGTTAATTTTGAATATTATTTTCGCTTTTTATAAATTAATTATAAAATTTTATGAAATTTTTTTGATGAAAATTATTTATTATAAATAAGTGATTAAACTTCTCTAGAATTAGTAATCTTTTAAATTGTAAGGACTGGTTAAAGATTGCTTAATATTCCTAATTTATGCTATTGTCTTTAATTAATTCTTATCCATATATTCCTAAATGATGTGATTTCAGGTCTATTGCAAATTTGAAGTAAAATTAGCAGAGATAAAAAATAAAAAATACTTTTTATTTATTTTATATTCTGCTTTCATAACGCTCTATTCTATTTCATATTTACTATAATGTTTTTTGATAAATTTAGCATATAATACTGCTGAACCTTTTAATTCATGATATATTTTATCAGATTTTATAATTATTATATCAAGGATCACAAGAATAGTATTATATCTACTTTAATTTTTGAATATCTATAAAATTGATAAAATTGATTAGTATTATGATGATGTTCTTATTTTTTATTTTATTTATACAAGACAAATAAAAGAGCTTACTAATCTGAGTAATATATAAATAAGGCAAAAATCATTTTTGAAATTAACCTTTAGACTATATCATAAAAGTTTGCTTTATCAAATTGCTTTTTAATTTATAATAGAAAATTTGACGTTTTTCTAATCAATAAGAGTCTTTTTAATGTTTGATATATGTTATCATATTATGATATAGACTAATTATGAAGAATCTTCATGATCAATAATCACGTGATATACAGGTTAAAATTCAGAATTAATAAATATTTTTTTAAAAATACTTATCTTTATATAACCTCAAATTAAAATAATAAAAAACTGTGATATTTTATTACGATCAGTGAGTATTATATATAAAAAATTTATTAATATATCAAAAAATAATTATAAAAATTTCAGGTCTCTACCTATAATATATAATGAAGTTATAATATTACTATATCTCTATCTTATTAACTTATCTATTCTTCTATAAGATTACTTAATGATTTTATCATTTAATTCTTTTTGATTCCTTTCAGTATTCATTGACTTCTATAATCTTATAATAATTATATAATGTGACCAAAGACTCTTTCTGTTTATCTTTATCTTCATATACAGTAGCAGTCATAAGTATCCGACCGCCTCTAACTCCAGCTACAAGTAAGTAAATTCAAAATTTTTTTTTTTATTTAAAAAATACATAACCAACTAACTAAAATTAATACATTGTATAGTCACCTTCTGACTCTATAAGTGCAGCTGTACGCCTTTTCATGTTAGCTATCAAATTTGCAACAAGTACAGGTGATAATCGATTCCATTCTTTTGTAAGTTTCTCCTTTAACCCTCTAATTGATTGAATTTTTTTTTTATATTAATTTTCATTAACCTCTAAACGTTTATTATAGGGATTTGGTCTGGAGACATTGATGGCTAAGAAAGTACCTCAATGTCATTTTCTTCCTTTCATTTTTTCACGATTTTCAATTGATGCTTTGGATCATTATCTTCTTGCAAGATCCAATCTATGTTACCTTCACCAAAAAGTTTAGAGGTAGAAGCTAGAAGACCCTTCTCATAAATAGTATACATAAATTCAGCATTAAGGTTTCTTTAAAAGCAAAATAGTTTACCAAATCCAGAAGCAGAAAAACATCCTTAAACATAAACTTTTGGTAGATATTTAACAGAATGAAACACTTTTTTTCTACCAAGAAACTGCCAAACCTTTTTTTTGAAATGTACTCTTATCTGTAAAAACAACTCGATTCCAATCAAAATTCTTATGTTTTTTTGCCTATTGCAACCTTTTCTTTCAATGATCTTCTTTAAGCAAAGGTTTAGAAATTTTATTACTAAACTTTTCTCTAGACTTACGAAGACGTCGCCTTACTGTTTCTACACTAAGCCCAACACCTCTTTCTTTCATTTTTCTTGTATTTGAATGGCTGTTATATTATGTTCTTTCTCTGCTATCTTTACAATCTTATTATCTTGTTTTGTGAATATTATACAAGGCCGCTCCGGTCTTTCTAAAGTACTTAGATCCCGATTTTCATGATATCTTTTAACCCAATAAATAGCTGTAAACTTACTACAACGTACCTGTTTAGTAATAAATCTAAAACTAAACTTTGGATCAGCTAGGTATTCACGTAAAAAGATAATTTCATATCATTTCTCTAAAAAAAGTTCCATTTTTCAAGCGAAAGTTTGATGATCATCTAAATTTTTTTTTGTATCATTGACACTTATAAATTTATAGGTGATCATGTATTGTATTATATTATATTTCTAAAAAATTTAAGGGGTAATTATATAATAATTTTGGACAATCTCAGGTGGTCGGATACTTATGACTGCTACTGTATAATAAATAAGGGTTGAATGATAATTTCTTTTTATTATCTAACATACATTTCATAAAATACTATTTTTCTACTTTTATTATAATTTTTTATACATTATTTCATATTTTTTTTTTTAATAATATGATACTCTATTTATTAATAAATCAAAATACAAATTTAAGAAATAAAAACTATACTAAATATTAACTATCTCTTGTAGTTATTTCATACTATAATATAAGCATTTATATCTATTATTACCATAATAGGATTTATGATATATGTAATTATAAGCTAAGATTTTAATATAATCATCTATATTAATAAATGATATGTTTAATCTAAAATTATTATGAAATTAGATACTAATTATTAATTTTACTATCAAATTTATTTCGCATATAGTTTACCTTAAATATCTACTTTATTAATTCAACTATTTTAATCAATTCTAAAAATTTCTACTTTCTTTCTTCACTAATTATTCCTTTCTAAAATTATTAGTATATTATATTCTCAAATAATTTTTTATATACTTTTATGATATCTGTATAATTTATCTATATTTTAAATATATAATTATTTTTTAAGACAAATTAAAATACTGATTGGATCTCTTACAATGTTTTACCTTCTTTAAATCTAAGTCTAATAAGTTATATACTTGTAGATATTAAAGAGTTTTATTAATAGTTATCTTGCAATCCTATTATAATACTTAACCATTCAATTTCTTAAAGTAATAGTTTTGAGAAATGCATGACTATAGTAAATTACTATTTTTATCTTTTTTAAACTTATTTATTTAATATTTTTTACTATTAAAAATAGTCTTATAAATACAATTAACTCTTATTATAATGAACTTAATGTCTTAGACCTCAACTTCGCTATAATGTTATAATAAAGATTTTGAGTTTTTATTAGTCAATTCACTATAACAAGAGTATTTTTATTATATTTGTTTAAAAATTCATTATATCAAGAGTTTACTATATCAAAAGTTGACTGTAATATCAAGTAATCTAATTGGTTTCTTTCTAATTCTACATTTAAATACTAGGTTAACATATTTTTTTCTCAAATATTAATTTTTGTTTATATATATTAATAAGCCTATATTTTTTTTTTGTTTTTTCAAAATACTCTTACTTACTAAAGCATATAATTAAATATAATATCTTTTATAGATATTAATCATTTACTATTTGACTCTCAAATTTGATATACTATAAATAATTGTATTAGATATAAAATAATCTATATCAGATTATTTTAGAATTTTTTTAACTAAAAACCTTTTATCAATTTCAATTCAGAATCTAATTTTATCTTTTTATAAAAATAACAATAGATTCTTCTAAAACAAATATTTTATCAGCATTTTTTAATTTGTGAATAGACTCATATTTATTAATAATTTTCAAATTATCAATATTTAATCCAATAAATTTTATTCTTATAAGAAACTTATCATCATTTATTATATTTAAAATCTCTTTAAAATACTTTTTAGTTATTTTAGCTTTATATTTTTTTCTCTTTCAAAATTATTTTTTATAAATGTTATCTATTCTAAACTTTCTTTGTCTTTTACCTTATATTCTTATATTAATAAATTTATATATTTTAAAATTAATTATACTATCTACATAATATGTTTTTATTTTCTATGTAATTTTTTTTTACTTTATTTACTTTAAATATATTTTTTGTTATTTAAATTCCTTTTTATTATATTTTCTGATACTTTTCATTATCTAAAAATAAAACTTACCAAAAATACTTTTTTTATCTAAATTCTTAGAATCATCTTCAAATTTATCTTTTTAATTAATAATTTCAGGAGTTAAAATAACTGCTTATATTTTTCTATATGTAATCTCTTAGTTTTTATCTTATAAAATATAGATTATTCCTTACTTATAAGCTTAAATTGCTAGACTAAGACTGGCTTTTATATTTTTTATTTAAAATTTTTCATACTTTTCTTTTATTAAAGTTAAACTGTTTTTGAATCTAATTGTTTAAGATTATAATAAAAAAATTGATATTAATTCAGATTTTTTAAGTTATCACAATCTCTTAAATCAATTTTTTTTATCTTTTTAGTAATTTTACTTTCTATATCTTAAAATACATACTAAGTTTTTATTTATTTGAATTGATTCATTTTTAGCCTACTTTTTGATAATATAATCT